GGATCACCTCCCTGGATGGATTTAGTGCCTTACTTAATCATTGTTTAAGCACAGAACTGTGGAATGCACTTTTTCTTTAAAATTAATCTCTATTTTCCCGAAATTAAAGACATATAATTAGGTATCATGTAGCATTAACTACAGCTGGATAATTATTGATTTAAACTGCACATCAAATGTAGTGATGCATAGAATTAAATAGTTTTCCATGAAAGGAAATTATTTGATCTCTATACCAAACCTTCTTAGAGAAACCAATCATATTGGAGGCCTGTACAATATAGGGATCAGGATTTTTCTCCATAAAGCTGTACTAACCCAACCAATGGAATTGTAAATTTCATATAAGTACCTGTGATATAGGATAAAAGTTTTCATAAATAACTCAGGCTGAGTATGTTTAGAGGTGAAAAGATCAGGTCAACTGAATCAAATAATATATCTTGAGGTCACTGTGCACAGATATATCTCAAACCACCAGGGATCTGGTCAAAACTTAATAAGAAGTAAATATGTCAAGTCATTCCTTGGAGAAGCAAAGTCCAATTTCAAAACTTCTAGTCTTGTTCTAGTCTGTTTTCCAGATATAGTGAGTTTTCCTTGCTATCAAATCTCAAGGGATATGCATTTCACCCTCACCTGCAGCATTTCCTCTCCATTTTTTAATATTTTTTTTATTTTAATTTATTTATTGAATAATTTATTTCAATTTTATTTATTATTTTTATTACTATTATTATACTTATTTTTAATTGTTTTGCGGGGGGGGGGGGGGGGGGGGGGGGGGAAGGAGGGATATATATATATATATATATATAAATTTTAAACATATTCACAAGTTAGAGTTTCAAACGGCTATGCAACTCTACAAATGTATTTGGACCTAGGCTATGCTGAATGCTGTTTTCATAAAGCTCGTTATGAGAGGAATGTCAAAATGAATTTGTAGGATTCCTGTCATGCTCGGAATGTTATCATGTCAGAGAGGGAAATATTTGTCTGTCTAGAGCGAGAAGGGTAATGACTGAAGAAATGCCCTCCTGGATGCAGTGGATGATTTTACTAGTAATGATTATTCAATTAACATTAATATTGATCATAAAAATGATAATGAAAATAATTATAATAATCATCATTATCGTCATCATCCTCTGGATTTATATAAATATATCTCAAAGCGTTTCATGCATTTTTTTAAAAATCCCAGTCGTCAGATTCATAGAGTTCATTTACTCACAATGGGCATGCACAATGTACACCATCTCCACTCCCTGTATTTTAGTCCTTTCATATCATTTGATATGTTTTCTATTAATTAACCTGGAACCTTATGTAACCATTGCATTTTTTTTTTTTTCCTTGTGATTGCCAGGATTTTATATTCTGATGATGAATTTCTGTTGATAAAAAGTATTTGTACAATTTCAAATAATTTTCATTTTGATTGAAATGGCATTTTCAAGTCAGTATGTGCTATGATACTCTGATTTCCATCTATTTAGATGTTGGTGAGAAGCAAGATAAAGTACATTGTAGATGCAGAGGATAGATAGAGAGGGGAGCTTGTGTAAGGGAAAGGGGGAGAGCACATACATGTATATGTAATGAACAAACTGCAAAGCCAGAAAGACACGATATGGAAGGCTAACGGCTCCCAGAGTTTTAATCAAAGTCCAATAAATTGCAAACAAGCCTGTATTGCATTGTAAATATACCTGCGTCAGTACCAGATAGTGACCAGTAGATCGGATAGGAGTATTTGATCAGTCCTTTCCTAACTGTCAACAAGGCAGTGTGTGTTATATTGACATTAATGCATGAGTCACAGTAGCTCCATGAAAAGATATATCTCAAGCTTAATTGAGTTATATTTCTATGGCCCTGTGGGTCATCTATAAAGATTACAAGTGTACACACAGTAGAAGTATATCAGGAGCTGCATTACACTGCAAGCACAAATCATAGATTTTTCTAACATTCCGATCAATCCCGTGTTTCAATTTAAGTTTTATGCTTACAACAGACAACCCTAACTATGTAATCTTTTATCAATATTGGTCTTCAAACACATTTTTTTTTTTTTTTCGGGGGGGGGGGGGGGTAAATCCTTGCAGAAGTGTGTCTTAAATGACATCCTCTTTCAAATAATTATGATACATTTTAAGTGAAATATTGCCATCAAATTTGTTGGGCTCCCAACACTTTAGAGGGGCTTTAATACAAGGTATCGTATTATTACCCCGGCTGTAGCCTACCGGGTACCCATTTATTCTACCTGGGTGGAGAATGGCAAATGTAGATTAATGCCTTTCCAAAGGACAGGACATTTATGTCTCCCCTATTAAAAATGATTACAAAAACAAACTCTGAAAATTGCAAATAAATTCTTATATCTCAGATGATAAAGAGGATGATGAATTACAAGTGACAGCTTTTCTTGATGAGAAGCCTTGTATATCCAGGTCAGGGTATTTCATTTCCTAAAGAATATATAGCATCATAATCAGTAGGGCCCTTTACCAGGATCACTTTCTAAAACTAATACTCTGATAACGATGTAATGAAGATGGATGTTTTTCTAATTATAGATCAACCAGGATATTAGATGCCGTATCAATCTGGAACAAACCAGCAAGGATAGGAAAGAGATTTCTAAAACTATTTATTCATTTCCTTCAACTTCAGGAAATCCAGTAGACTAGAATATCCAGTAACCTTTTCCTCTTTAAATTATTTAATTCATGATGACGCTTACATGTATGTCTCAATGGTAGAATCTGATTTGTTTGTTTAAATCTCAACTTATTGAATAGTATTAAGCCTGAGATACATGTACATGTACCTAGAATATAACTAATCTGAAAATGCAATTTAATCAAAATTAAATTGTCTCCAATGGTTTGAAAGTAACTGAAAGTGAGAGAACCTCATGCCTGCCCTTACCTAGTCAATGGAGCATTATTTCAAAGGTATACATGCATATAACACAGAGTTCAATACTTTAATATACATTTTACATCTTGTCCAATGGCTTCTTTAAATGATCAAGAAATGGTCTTATAATGTTAGTGGGGTAAAGCTTTCTAAGAGTGCAGAGAGACACTGTTTTCTCTGTGATTTGGGCTATATATACAAAAACTGAGTATCATTTTCATATTTGTTATTGACATGTTGGAAGGCAAATTAAAGGAAACAAAAGTTTAATAAAATTAAAACAAATAATATGTGATCTGAATAAAACCTTTAAAATGCCTTGGGCACAGATGGTTCCTGTCAGGAAATGTTTTTTGAAATATTAAATATCATGCTGTAATAAACACAAACATAACATAAACATAAACATGTACATGTTATTGACAAAACTAACTTTGACTATCGGTATATATGTAGGCTTCTTACACACCTTAGGGAAAGACAATCATTCTTTTAGTCAGACAAAATGAGGAAAGTGAACTCTCTATCGTAGGATGATTTTAAATTATCTCATATCCCACATTTTGATTAGTTTTACACTGGAGGGGCAAATAGAAAATTATATTATCAAAGGGTCCATAGATCTAGTGTATACAAACTCGTTAAGATACATGTAGTCCGCCCCCTCCCCTTAAGAATCTAGAGGAAATAATCAGCCCCCTAAAAATTTATCACACCCTGCAATAAAGCAGTCTTGCAAAAATAAATCTGCTCATAAATAGAAGCTTGCTGAGATCTGTAACTTGTGAAGATGCATGTGTCAAGTGATAAATTACCTCCACCCTTCCCTTCCTCTGGAAGAGTCTGGTTTCGATGGGGGACCTGGACATCCCTCTAGCATGGCTCAATCCCTAAAAGCTCTCGTGAAGAAGTTTTTGTGATTGATAGAATCGTGTAACCCTTGAACCCCTCCTGACAAAACAAAAACAATGAATGACCCAACAAAACACACCCACACTCACACACGCAAACAAGTAAAAATGAAAACAAAAAACACAGAAACAGGTCCAAACATTATAGAGTAATTAAGTGCAACATTTATTTGTTTTGTGTTGACCCAGAAAATAGCTTGAACGTTCTTATTGCTGTATGGCATTTTTCTTAGTTTTACTGTGTTCTATTCCAATTTATTGTTAAGCTTTCTTTCTACACTGGTCCTATAGTATACCAAGATACAATTTTATAAAGCTATTTTAAGTGGTGGCTTGAAACAAGAAGGTGCTTTGATCAGATCCATGTCCACCACAGATCAGTCATCGTATCATTTGACCCACACTAATGGGGCCGTGTTAATACCAAATATGTTTATTTCCTCTTCAAAATTGTGTGAAAGAGACATTATTTGGAATATTATCCAAGCATGTTTACAAAGATGGACCATATCATATGATGGCCATGAAATATTTGTTGGTCATATTGAACAAGAACCTGGATTGTTTGAAAGTGAGAATGATGATGTGTTCAAGGTATGTAATGGGTGAGTTTAGAATAGAAATATGAGGTCATTCTGGTGATGGATGAAATAGAGATCTTGTATAGAAATAGAGAAGGGGAGAATTAAAGGGGAGAATTAAAGGGAAGAGAAATAGGGAAGCACAGGGAATAAAGTGGGAGATGTAGGAAGATAGAGAAGAGAAGAGAAGAGAAGAGAAGAGAAGAGAAGAGAAGAGAAGAGAAGAGAAGAGAAGAGAAGAGAAGAAAAGAGATGAGATGAGAAATAGATAAAGAGTAACAGACAGTAGTGATGGACAGAGGGAAACAACATATTTACTGTTATCATGTGATCATGTTTACCTGCAATTCTCATCATTATTAAATGGAAACTCATAAAGATAATTTATATTTGTATAACTTTTAACTTATACATGTAGATTCCCTAATTTTTTGGTAAAGAGCTTGCAGTATCTTTTTATTTGTCATATACAGTGTACTGTGTGTTATAAAAAGTAACTACCCTATTTAGTGTTTTAAAACTATGAAGTGCAGTATGGTAATATCAGTTGTGTCTCAACCTTGTATAATTTCAGTTCGTCAATGGAGGAACGTTAACAGACCTGCTTTGTGACAACCAAGTTTACCTATCATGGATCGTAAGGATTAGCTTAGCGTCGGACATCGCTGGAGCTATGGCTTACCTTCACAAGAAAGCTATTATGCACAGGGATCTAACATCATCAGTAAGTTGGTTAAAAGGAGCAGGCTTGATACAAACAGGCGCCTGGGACATGTGCCCGAAATCAAAGTCTGGACCTAAATTAATTCCAAAAAATGCAACAAAGGACTGTATACTCCAGTATACAGACCTTTAAAAATGAAATTCAAACCCTGATTAAATGGGCACTAATTTACCTCTTTATGGTAGGTGGGCTTCAATAGAAGCAGACAAAATGAGAGGAACAGATATCAGAAAGAAGTTTAAGAAAAATTAGATGATTATAAGGGAGCCTTGAATATTTAAACTCAAGACCAGATCACTTCTGAATGGGGATTCCCTGTTAATGATGTGGTCATCAATGGGGATTCCCCATTAATGATGTGGTCATCATGAGTGATGTCATACAGGGAGAAATTCCAAAAGAATTGGGAATTTCAAATTATTTGTGTACACTATATTAAAAGGATTGAGTTTTCCTTGTACGACATCACACATCAAGTTCGAATTGCTATTTGGAGAATACCCATGGCAATGGTGATAGGAGCTTTCAAAAAGGTATAACTTTCTTATAAAATATGTCTGATTTGTTGCAAACCTAGATAGATCTGTTTTCACTGAGGCTACCTGCTTATGAAGGGTTGATTAATGTAATTCTTCGCAAGAGACATTAGATATTGTGAGCACAGGAAGAAATCCTGTATGTGATGTGAAAAAGTTCACAAACCCCATTTTAAAAGCATGTTTGGTTCATACAGTTATTAGATATATATATATATATGTGTTATATTTTCGGGAGATACGACTTAAAATAGTTGGGAAAAAACACATTATGAATCTTCTTTGAACCTTTGTAAATTAGAGCTTTTGTATAGATAAATTCCCAAAGTCTGTATTGACTGTCATATTCATCTTTTCAAAACAATTTCCTCCCCTTTTCTAGCGTATGAACAATTTCAGGTTTGCTCTGAAGTTCAGAAATATATCATTGAGAGGCAGAAAATGTATTATATTTTAGAGGCAAAAGAATTCATTATTTTAGAAATACACATTCCTCTTCCTGTTTTGGATGGACAAAACTTGTTTACAGAATGACAATAAACAATTATCTATTGTGTTTGTTACCTGATTGCTTCCAGATCCACCATGCTTGATTAATTATCTCATTAATATGCTATGTGCAGTTCTTTATGCAGTATCATGTTATGGGAGTGAAACAGTTACACAAAGTCTATAGTCCAAGTCAATGATTAGGAACATGTATTTCCCAGTTAAATGTACAGGAAAAGAGGCGTGATGGCTTAGTGGTATAGCAGTATTCTCGTAATGGGGAGGTCCTGGGTTCGAAACCAAGTCGATGTGCTTGTGCCCTTTGGTAAGGCATGAGTCATTACTAAATCCCTCAGAGAGGACTTAAAGCCGGTGGTTCACCGGTTGCTTTCTAACGAACATACACATGCTTGTTTTAGCAGTCAGGTAAAACAAACAAACAAACAAGGTTCACACATGTTAAACACTAAAGGCAGGAAAATAGGAATCACTACCCCAAAACAGTATTGGGCAGCAGTTAAGATACATGTAATATTTTGTAGAAGGCATGTTTGTTATATTGCTTGTTGTTTCTGTAGTAAGTCTTGCAGAATCTCTTTTAATATCATTCTATATATACAATGCTAGTATACATATTCACTTCCTCAGTCATTAAGAGAGATGAAACTGGAGCTTTATGTTACCTTGAATCAAGATCTTGAGTACTTGAAATACAATCCTTTAAAGAGGGTTTGGTACATATCTGTAGTATCCCACCCATAAGTTCAACAAGTTTACAATCATACATCCTTCTTGTAAAGATATACATATGGTTTTGAAAATAAGGATATTTTGATAAGATCTAGTCATGTTTACTAGGATATGAATCTTGAGTCAGAAATAAAGATCTTCACAGCTTGGATACAAATTGAAACTAACAGGATGTCAGTAATTGATTAGTGAAACTTGCTACTCTCAGCATATACATGTATGAAATATACCAGTATAATTATCCATCATGATTAATGTTACCATTGTTGTTTTCACTGCCAAGAGGTCATTGGTTCTAGGCCACATAGTTTCATTTTCATCCTCATTAATAAAAGCTCTTCAGATATGATGTTTACAATCACCACCAATTTATTATTTTTATTTATTTTGGTAACTTGTTAAAAAACAAAAAAATGACAACTGCACGCAGCAAAGGTCCTATGTGTATTCACTAAGATCAGCATTACAAGATGGGAGATGCGAAGCATGACATACTTTAATTATCTTTGTTTCCTATTTCTTACAATGTTATCCATAATATTTTAAGAGTGAAACAATTTAACTTTGATTTATGTTATTATGCTATACCTGCTGTAGTGTATAATCGGAATGATTTTAAATTGAAAGCTTGAATACCTATTAGTGTACGAGGTATTCAATATGTGGGCCTCATTTTTAACATTAATTTATTCATTTTTGCTCTCTCTCTCTCTCTCTCTTCACAGAATGTTCTAATCAAGAGAACTGGTTTGGACATGAAGGCCATTATTTGTGATCTGGGACTCTCTTGCAGGTTTCCAAGGTAACATGAATCATAACAATCTCATCATCTATAAGATCATGTATATGAAAGGTGAATGCATTGTTGATCTGAAGTCATGAGTAATTCCTCACATTCTGGCCGGGCTGATGAAACCAAAATCCCAGATGACAAAAATCAGAAAAACCAAAGTCTTACCCCAAATCCTCTTCCTAGTTTTGAAACAATGCAAACAATTACAGCCACAATCCCACAATAATAATTGACTCATGAAATTTAGTCTTTAATAACACATGTTGTTACATGGAATAATGCCTTTATCTTTGTAATGATTCCAATTTATAATCCCCTTTCACCTACAACTGTTTAGTAAAGAATTCCACTTTATTTATACAATTGAAATAGCTTGTTTAAGCTCACTTTACATACTTTTAATTGTTTTGTCTTTACAAGCTTTACTGCGTCTGTGAATAAATGAGCCAGCTTTCATGAGATTAAACTGAAATTTGACCTGACAATACAGACTTTATATATTTTCTCCTCCTAATAATGTTCCTTAACTCCAAATGATTCTACGCCTTCTAACCGAAATGTAAATCACCTAAATTACATTTGATTCCATATATGATTCAAGTGAGATAGATAAATGGCAATGTGTGTAGGATAATTAATGTTAACACTAATGTACATGCATTTGTTTAATAAGTCCATTGTTCTGAAGCCTTTCCATCGCTATTTGATTGTCAAGGCCATATACTGCCATCATAAATCAGCTGACCGACCGATTAGCCTTAAACCACTTCCCTCTCGATCAGTCAGGTCATTGTATACTAGGTCATTTAGCAGAGGTCATTCATTCACGGAAGGTCAAAGTCTTAGATTGTAAGATGAGACATGTTCATCTTTAGATCAATTATTCATACTCATTTTAATCATCATAATGATTGTTTCTTGTAAAGCGAAACCAAACAAGAGTGCTCATGTATTGCGATTCTGCATTTTGTAATGCATGCTCTCCACTCTCCTGGGAAGCATAGTGCCACGTCTATAGAGGTGGCACAGGGATATTGATTTCATGATCTATTAAAAAATGTTGTCATTATTTAAGCAACATGAAAGGGTACTTTTAATGGAAATAAGCTGGTAGATGAATGTCTGTCTAAGTCCCACTACAGTAACAATAGCTTTCTATCCCCTTGGTGAATGATGATATTACATTACAAGCTATTCATTGCCAATTTAATGTTGTTCTTCTTTGCTTTTGAATGCCAGAAAGTGCAAATTACCTCCATATTTATCACTTATGTCAACCTGACAATATGCTACAGGTGTCTGTTCTGATGCCATAAGAAATTGGATGAGTAATATATGATAGTATGTGATGAGGCAAAGAGGTTGGTTCAAGATGGAAATACTTGTAGAGGCAATTTTTTGAGAAGATAATGTAGTATGTATAAATCTTTGGACATATTGTTATTAAAGATGATCTGCTGCAATTCGTAATTTGTGTATCTTTTTGTTTTGTTCCATTTAGGGAGTTGTCTAGTCTGAAGTCCCCGGTAGGAACTCCATTCTGGATGGCCCCAGAGTGTTTGCACTACAAACCATATGATGAGAAGGTGAGATATACCCGACATAGCAACAAATCTAAGAAAAGCATTGCAATGAAAATAATTCACTTTGTGATCATTGATTTCTTAATGGTAATAAATTTTAGTAGTTTTCTGAAATCTGTTAACTTATCAATAGGTTAGTAAAAATTTATATAAACACACTGTACTAATATTGTAGTTGAATGAATGATAGATGTGTTAAACATTAGCTTCAGTTCTGGTAATGATAGAAAATAAATTCTCACAGAATCCAACAAAACTTACACTGAATGTTCAAGATTACAAATAAATGACATGTGCCAAACGACTTTGGTAGAAATGTATAGGGGCCGAGTAATGAGCATAGAAAGATAAGGAAATCTGGTAAGTCGGCCCGACACCGGCCATGTGCTTAAAATAGCTCACTATGTGCAAATGTGAGTTGTATTTTTTATTGAAGATGATTCCCAGGAAGTTTTTGTGAGGTTGTTTTTATTTTACTGGTTCAAACAATCAATCTACTGCAGGATAAATAATCCAGAATGAATTATCACCATGTTCTCTGAACATACGATGCCCATACCAGAGCTCAATATTGGCGTTAAAATGTTTCTTGTATCTAATACCTATGAATGTCTTTGTCTTTCCTCCCTCTCCTTAGATTGATGTCTTCTCATTTGGCATATGTTTGTGTGAGATGATAGCAAGAGTAACGGCAGATCCTGATGAGCTTCCAAGATTAAATGTATGATCATCCTTCCTTTCATACCAAACCAATCAATATGTTAGTTCCGGCTAAGGGTTGCTTTAAGTTACATTTTGTTGAAACGCCAGATAATGTACTTACTCCTCTTTTATATATTATTTATATGGGGATATTTCACCTTAAAGCTAAAGACCAGTTATGGTCATGCGATTGCATTGTGAAAGAAACGTTGTGAAATCGATCAGAAAAGGTTGATCATCTAGCATAGATGTACTGCAAGGTTCTGGAATCATCAAACTGATAAGAAATTTGGCCAAGTCTTCATAAAGTTAGAAGCACTGTACACAGAAAGATGTATATGGGACTACACACACATGCGCGACACGTGCATTTCATATCTCTCAACAGGCGAGAGATACACTAATTTACCAAATATATTTTTCACAACATAATAAATACTACAATTAACCTTCATTAGTTACCATTAAGTTTGTAAACATTGATTATAACTAAATTTTCATGAGAGATGAAATCAGTGTTTTACGGTATCAAAGACCACAACTCATAAGCCCATTTTGACTATCAATAAGAAATATAAGCTTCACTCACTAATGTACTACAATTAAGATGCTCAAAAGTGTCTTATGGCATTGTCAGGGTTAAACAAAGCTAAGATCAGCAATGTGGCATGAGAGAGAGGCAATCGAGCTCTCTGATCCTGATGTAGACATGATTTAGGCTTGGTATCCTTTTATTTCGGAAGTGGGTGTAAGCCAAGCTTAAGGTGCTGCATTTCAAACCTAAAATATGAAAACATATTAAAGGAAGTGTGCTTCCTTCCTATGTGGTTTCACAGCTCGAGTACCCTAGGAATAGTCGACCTTGAAAATAAAGACTTTTTCCTGATGTTCTGTGAAAGTTTGTTTTCCTTGCTTGTTGATTTTTGAAAGACAAAACTAGGATTAAGTTTAGAGGATGAGGCTAGAGCCAGTTTCATATCAGTGAGTATGAAATCAAATGCTGGTAAATTACAGCGCAGGAAGTAGGCTGGATAATAAATCATTTTCATGTCGTCTGTTTGGAGCAAAAAGGCCAATATTTTCCTCAGAATTAATGCCTTTCCTGCTGCAAATATACAATATCTTCTTTTCTAACCTGGATTAGGGAGAATTATCCAGAGATATATTGAGAATGCCTCTATTGGTTCTTGCTGATGGAATGCATGTCCTGCATTTCTTCCCGACTTCAAATCATACCTCTCTTTCACCAGACTTGCAAATACCAATTTGGGCAATACCATCATTGCCCAATGTATATGTTGGCACCACTGAAGGGAAAAGAGATTTGAACACACACATGATGCAAGAGGAATATACTCATGGAATTGAAAAAAAATAAAGATTTAGCCTAACTATAAGGAGGCAGATTATTTTGAAGACGAAGAAGAGATCTTAAGACTATGATATCCATTGGGAATATATGTTTAGAAGAGACACTAAGTGAAGAAAGAAAAGCAGGAGGAAAATTGACCAATAGAAAAATAAAAATTACTTTTGTGCTTCATATTTGATTTGGAACCGATAGGTTTATTGATTTGGACATATCCCCTTTTGGATGTCTACCCAATCATATTGAAAGTGTGTCGACCTTTAGCTGTCAGTTATACAGTTCCCACAAAATGAAATCCATGTCGTGTTATTGCGAAGGTAGAGGAAGGAAAGTGTTACTCATTTCATTGCTCAAATTGAAAAAGGGAAAGGGCAAGGGTATGATTCTTGGCAGAGCATTTCATCTCTCAATTTAGAATGTAGCCTATTGGGTATGAGATTTCATTTCACGGCTCTCTTGATTCCTCAGAATCAGAATATTCAGTAGACTTTCAAGGGAGACTTTACTTGAGAGATTGCAAAATGGCTCAATGCCATTTAGGCATGGAAGAGTGGATTGCAAAGCTTTGTCTATGGCATTCGCGGTGTAAGTACAGTGTAATCATGACGTAGATGTAAAAGTATTATGTACACTGTAAGCTACATAGCTTGTTCACTGTGTAGTCTATGAAAACATTTTAAGATATTAATATATTTCAATGAAATCTCTATATTGTAAAGAATAATGACAATCTTTTTCTTGCTTTGACTCTCTCTCTCTCTCTCTCTCTCTCTCTCCCCTCCCCTCCCCTCCCCTCCCCTCCCCTCCCCTCCCCTCCCCCCTCTTATCTTCCCTCTCCCTCCTCTCTCTCTCTCTCTCTCTCTCTCTCTCTAATAGGACTTTGGTCTAGATGAAGTAGGCTTCCAGTCGATCAGTTCAGGCTGTCCAGAGCCTCTCTTAGAACTAGCTTTTTCCTGTTGCAAGGTCAGTATCTTGTCATCCACCATGTTACAGAGTTTTTTTTTATAACATCTATTAAAGGTATTACAAAGTTTTGGGAATTTTGAAAAATGGGTGGATAGTGATTCTTTACAATTTTGATATATTTGGATGCCCCTGTGGATGTATTAAAAACACCAGAAAGTTTAGCCCCTAAAACACTTCTGCTTTTGAGAAAAATTGAATATAAAGATTTACCGGTGCTCCTGGTAAATTTTAATAAATTTCAAATAGCTCCTCCGGCCGTACAATGTTAGCTGCAACCATGAAAATCTCAGAGTATGTAGTTGTGGTATATAATTTCTAAACGGGAATAGCTAAACGGTCGATTTTAGTCAATAAACATTGTTTTATAGCTTAATTAATATCTTGACCTTGAGAGGGAGCTATTCAACATAAAGTGTTTATTATTTCCAATTTCATAACTTAAGAGTCGATTTCGACCGCGACAACGATCACTGAATATTGTAGGATCGTATATGCTTCCAATATATTCATTTGAACCAAATTCATGACCCCATACCAAAACTTTGTATTACCTTTAAGAGCCATATATCGCCGTCAACAGATAAAAAGCAGACAAAAACGAAAAAGAAAAAAAATATTTGTGACAGTGCGAGATAAATCTGACAAACATATTTTTTTATTGTTTGTTGTTGGGAGGGGGGGTTGCTTGATTACATATGAATTGATTTCTCTGGAGAGCATTCCTTCATATGTTATGAACAAAATAAGTCTGAACTATATAGATGATAGGACCTTTGAAAAAATATCAAAGAAATTTGAATCAATTGTAACTTTGTGAGTGTGAAATCTTGCAGCCCACATCCTTTCGGACATATTTTTCTACAATCTTTAATATCAAAGTTCAATTGTACCTGAAAGTCAGTGTACACAAACAGTGTCAGTGAAGCTTCTAAATTTGTATTCTAGATTCTGATTTTTTTGGGGGGAAAGGTATCAGGACCTATTGGATGATTTATGGACTATAGATCATGAGGTACGGGGTATGGATCCCAGCCTTTCATTCCTGTTGTTTAGTAAGACATTAATTTACAATTGCCAGTCTCCACCCAGGTGTGGATGGGTGCCTGATATGCTTGTTACTTTGGCGGCTCAGCTATAACCAGGGTAATAAGGTCTAAGCACCGCGAGCGTCACTGTGTGATGGATATTAGCGCTATTATGAAGCTGTTCTCATTATTACTACTACTATTCTTCATGACATGACTCAACCTTATTCAGTCAAACCTGTCTATAGCGACCACCCAAGGGAAACACAAAAAGTGGCCTTTGTAGACAAGTAGTGTTTGTAGACAAGTTCCTTCAGTGCATGTTTAATGAGAAACCATTTTCAAGGGAACCCAAAAAACTGTGGTCCTTGTAGACAGGTGGTCACTAAAGCAGATTTGACTTTATATCTTCTGTGGGATATTTTGATTCATGGAGATTGTTTTGATTATAACTTACATTACAGATGAATAAGAACAGTAGACCAGCGTTTGTAGATATTGAGTTTCAACTGCAGCATATCAAGATCAAGCTTGGACGGAACGACAGGCTGATGACGGACAAAGGTTTGTTGACGCTTTATTCATTTCATTCTACCTGGGTGGTATCAGTATATTTATGTACCAGCTTGGATTACTTTTATGTTTCATCTGAGTAAGGAAACTATTGTCGAGCCAAACATGGTATGAAAATGGGGAAAATCTACTTCTTGAGCTTGGAAGACTAAAAACATCAAAATAATGCTGATCTTGGAATTACTCAGAAAAAAATTCAAATTTGGTTTTGCAAAATATATATAGATTTTTTAATTTTGTGAAATTTGAATTGATCCATTTGGATTTGTTGTTGTTGGTTGTTCTGCTTTTACATTGCACAAAAGAAAGGGATTTATGGAGGTTAAATCAAGCTATGGAAATGTTGGCAATTTCCATAGTGGAATTACCCTTCTAACCATGACTTTAATCTTTTAAGTTTGATAAACCAAGTATATCAACCTGGATGGTGAAGAGTTATCAGTATTTTGTTCTTCTCATAGCAGTGATTGAGGGTTCAGCTTTGCCAGAGAAAAAATACCATATGCATTAAAATTGGGACATGAAATATAGATGTATTACGAACTTCATGTTAAAGAATCTCAATACTTTATGTTCTGTAGATAAGTCTTGATATGTGTGAAAGGGAGAATACAAGTATGAAATAGTGCATATATTATCTTTCTAAAGGGGATCATTTTTATGCATGTTTGCAATCTGTTTTTTTTTTTTTTGCAGGTGATAAAACCACAAGATCTCGGCGTCACACCGTTTATTTGAATGTTCCTAACACACCCAACGCCCCAGCAGTGCAGCAACCGCGTAAGCATCCTTTAGTACGAAGCAACTCGGACAGAGGGGCACGGGATCGCAGGCATTCGCGCCAAATGAACCGAACAAATCCCTTTGATACGCCATCGTTGAACGGTGGCAGGACAAAGTTTGTGAATTCAGGTCGGGACCAGCTGAAGCAGCTGTCTCCAGATATGTCCTTGGACATCGGTCAAGTGCTTTCCACCTTGTTTGGAAGGACGGACATCATGAGTATCTTTGAGCAGCCGATAAAAAGAAGACTTTCCGTTTCCTTGCCTTCGTCTCCGGAGCTCCATCGCCGGGAGCTCTCGATGGAGGATGATGACTTCTATGATGATCTCATGAGCTGGCCAAGCTCGTCGGATACCTTTGAACTTAGTACGAGTAGAACCCCTCCCCCTCCGGATGATGCATCACCCCCGTATGGAGTGGGAGAGTCCGCAGAGTCAGCATCATGCAGCAGTGCGCAGGATGATACCACTTTAAATGGAGGGGAGCCTCACAATAGCAATAGAAATGGACCAAATTCCAATGATAATAGGAGGTAGGACTGGTAGAAGGGTTCTACTCAAAGACTGAAAGCGAATGGATGGTGGGTCTATGCATGTATGCATCATCATAATAATGGCCCTTTATCTAGGCTGAAATAAATAAAAATGCCAAATGTGAAAAAGGTTGTATCTTAAGAAGAAATGGGTTTGGAGTTTCAAAAGTTATTCTTACCTATCGCATGTGTATCTACTATGCAGACAAACAGAGATTAAGTCTTAACCAATGATATGAATATGCATATGTTCATCTATAGTCGTACTGTAGTTATTCAGCATTTTACTCATTTGTGCTGTTCTCTGATCGTGGCATTAAGCTCTTGTATAGCTTGCATACTTTATCTACTACGAGTGTCTTGTATAGTACATGATTACATGATGATGATGAGGGTTTTATCTGAAAAGCCAACTCTCATACTCCTGGATGTGGAGAGTCAATGATAAAAGCCCTGCCTTGTAAAACTCAACCTAGTCTTCAATCAAATGTTAGAAATAATTGATAAGTAAAAATAGGAAACATCTTCACTCTGTGCATTTTTTAGATAGGCATCCAGTTTGAAATTTGTGTCAAAAAAAAAACGAAATTTCATTCCTTTCTGTCATTTGCATGCTTTGGATAGTACTCTTGGCTGACCAAATTTACAAAAATCCCTGCATAATGGCATTTATATTCTGTTTAAGACCATTCCATATTCAGCAAGTTAACTAGAGAAGCCTGTAAAATTATGAAGAGAAAACCTTATAGCCTAAGGTATACAAGTCACACACACACACACACCAAGAAAAATAGCTCTATATGCTAAGGGTTCCATGTTGCCTACTATATTCAACGTATGAACTTCATATATTATTTCTGGAAAGATATATTGCAAGTTTAGATACACTCTCAATTAATATAAAAAGCAACTTGTTAGTACGTTCACATAGAAAAATAGAAATGCACCTACACGGAACTCAACTGAGTTGGGCTCTGTGATTGAACATACATTATTTTTTTAGGGGTTTGATACACAAGTATAATAAGATATTAATAGCACATATTCTCAAGAGCAGACTCAATTAAGGCTTGGTTTTATATCTGAAAAAGTGGGTGAGTTCGTCTTACCCTTTTAGTGAGGACCAATAGCCATTTAGTCTCCATTTTGTTCACAATAGTTCTCTCATAAAATTTATCAGTTATAATAATGTCATAAATTCAATATTTTTTGTTTATGCAAGACATAAATCTGTCTCTAGCTCTTTGCTCCTTTTTTGTCCAAAGAGAAATGCCAATGCACTTCTAAAAAATAAAAAGTTAAGTGCTATGTTAATCCAATATATTAGAATTGTACCGGGATAGAATCAAGGATATACATGAAAACATGAAAACTGCCCATTTGTCTGATATGCCATCCATTGCTTCCACTAAATTCAACATATGTTTGCATGTGCTCAGACAAAATAAAACAATGCCTTAGAAAAAAAATCTCTGCAAAATGTAGAAGCACCAAATGAAGAAAATTGTCTATATTTTAGTTATTGAATGTGAGAAATATATTTTTCTTATCGTTCCCACATCTGCACAGAAAATGTAATGATAGGGCATTGCAAATATATATTTTATTACAATTTTCCTGACTCCAAGATTACATACAATGTATAATCAGAATGATACATATATTTTGTGTTTGCTATGCTATTTCTAGTATACTGGAGATAAAACAAATGGTGTGTATCATGTACATGTATTATGATATTGACATTTGAAGTGAAGTGTCTCATAGTTGTTTTGTAAGTAAAAAGACAGAAACCTTTCGGGACAACTCTGAAAGAAAATGATGGTAGTCAACTCAGCAGAGCAAGGAAACCTCAATCTTGTTTTGGTTTGTCCTTGCTACCTTTGGTAGATCTGTCACCATACATGTAGGTGTTCATCTGGCATTAAACTGTGTATGCAAGACTGTTCTCGTATCTGCAACAAACAAAACAATTTCAGGCTACATCTGCACATTTTTTTTGTGTGGATAGGGATAGGGATAATCTAAATGTATCAGTAAGTGACAAATAAGAAATCTGAAGAGTAGAAGTGTTTTTATATTACATAATATTTGTGATGTAAAAAAATAGGCAATCTGTATTGAAGCACCCCTCCTTGAAATACAAAGGAGTTTTGTTTCCTGCAAATGCGCTCTTTTGTTTTTGCAACATGATCTCTCGCTTTTTGCAAAATATCTCTCTTTCTTTCCCTTCAAAATAGGGATTATTTTGATATCTGGAACAATCTTGTTTTACACATTCTACATAGTGAGTGTACATGCTGGATGCAGAATCCTATAAAAGTTAAATTTAGATAATGTTTAGTAATACTTACAGCTCTCACTCTATCTCAACATATTTAGAATGCGTACACTTAAACAAATATTTGGTAAACTGTAGGTTGCAGCGTGCTAGGTTTGTGACAGGTAATTGCATGTAAAAGTGGAAAAAGAAAGAGTAACAAAGTAGTTTGCAATAGTTTTACAGTCTTGCCCCTATATTTTTTCCAATCAATATGTACATGTAGATCAATCACTTGGGTTCACAGTATCTGTGTTGTGAAGTATTTAGAGTGAGATTCCAATCACTATATTACCTCAAAAATTAATATTTCTAACATTACAGTGTGCTCAGTCTATGCTCAGAATCAATACTGTAAGTCTGTCTATGACAAATGTTTGTCTTTTGTTTTGTTTCGTGATTGTGGTTTTTGCATTTCAGTTTACCTCATAATTAACAGTATACTCTATCTCGTTTCATGTACCAAAAGAAGCAGTTGAAATACTCCAGAAAGATGTGCAGCTTTTTAGTCTCCAATTCTTAATGAGAAAAAAAAGTGAAGAAAAGAAATGAAGAGATGGCAGTCATTTTACAGAATAAACTGTTCTCGTTTTCCATTAAGAAACAAATTACTTTTCTGAGGATTTGGGTTATAGAGCAGAGCAATTACTGCAACAGAAAGCAAAAATGTAGGCAAGAACACACTTTTGGAAAATGTTAAATATTGAGTGTACTCAATTTTCTTGGATACTGTATATTTAGTCAACAAAAGATTGAGGTGAAGCAGCTGATTGTACTCTGCTGGATCAGGAATGGAAAAGTATTTTGTTGCTGCAAAATGAAAATGCTCTTGGGTAAAATTGAGTTGAAATCTTTTAGTATTAATCAGGTGATCAAAATAGTTAAATGTATAATTGATTATTTTGCTAATAATGTAAGAAACTTTTCTGTGGACCCCCCTCAGCCAAATGTCAAAGAATTGTTCAGTTTAAGGAAATATATATACATGTGACTGCAACCCTACTTATATATTAAATCTGCATATGTATACCTTGGTCTTATTAACAAGAAAAGAAAAGACATTGCTCCATTGGCCAAGAATTGTATGGTTTGGAGTAGGTTTGGCATTGGTTTTACATTAGGTATGGTCAAACCATCACAATTTTCAAAATACTGCATTCTTCTTAATATATTTTTTAGTTAATATGTATTGTATTATGCTTTGAAATTTGTTGAACTCTGAATGCCTCAATTTAAAAGTCAGTCAAATGAATCCCATGAACATCCTGGACAATGAAAAACATATTTAAGAATCTGATAGAAAATTTTAAGCAATGTTCATGTATAAAGGAACACTAATCATTAAGTGCAATATAATATACACACGTATCACAACAACTACTTACGACTTCACATTGTGTAATTCATGCACAGTAGAAGGGCTTTAATAGAATGATAAGATAATAAATTCTGATGAGACAAGCCCATCAATCTGATCTCATCAAAGCTATTTGACATTGATTGATACACAGTAGGAGGACTTACACAATGTTAACTACAACTCCCCCATCAATATATTATCTTTTTGTTGAAACAATGCTTCATATTCACACAGTGATAATGCAGTACAACTTCCATCTCCAGATGTTCACCGTGAAGAAATGATATTTAAAAGAAAAACATGATAATAATAATAATAATATTTAAATTTTATATAGCGCTTAATACAAATGTCTCTAAGCACTTTACAAATATACTATTACCCTGTTATAATCTGTAAGGATGATGGCTGAGGGGTAAAGTAGTTCACATATTTTTGTTTTTTTATCTTGCCAAATGTGTTTTGTAAATAATAGTTTTGTCTACTGGTACAAGTATGTATAATTTGCTTGAAGAATTTGTTTGTAAATTTTTAAAAAAGAGTATTATTAGAAGAGAATATGTTTATTCTAAATTGTGAAATGAAATATATTTTGTAGATTTAAGATTTTCAATTCATAATTTCTTTTATTGAATGCTTTATTTATAATTCTTCTCAGACACATATTGTTATTCAAATTCCACCTTAATTTATCCTCGCTAAATCAAACTTCTAAGTGACTTCTGTGACAGTCATCGGTGAAAACATCTTCTTCTTGTTGTATTTAGTTGGTCAGAGACCAAATCAATTTAAGCTTTTTATAATGGGCTTTGATAGCTGTATTAAGAGGATGACCCTCAAAGGTGTATCCAAAAATGAAAAGCTCAAGAAACTTTCTCTTTAATAATCCCTCTGACTTTCGCCATTATTAGCTGAGAGTTTTCTTTAATACTAATGTTTGCACAGACTGATTTAAATATCTGACATTTTGTAGTATCAAGCAAAATCGTACCACTGTTGATGTCCTATGTTTTTCTGTGCTTGAATTCAATTCACAGAGATGAAATTCCAAAAGTAGAGATATCCCTGTTTAATAAGTAAAGCAGGAAGTGCTGAGGGAATAGTTTGGAAATTTATAAGATTTTCAATGAAAAGGAGATATTTGAACTTCTTTGATATTGTAGAATTACTGAGAGATGTGTACATGCAACTGTAAATATAGAGAAAAAGTGAATTCTATTTTCAATGTGGGCATTTTTTGTTTTTACCAATGACTTGTTTATTAAACATGTACATGTAAGTGTCATATGTGAAAATGATCAATAACTCAACTTTTAGTTACACTCAAATATTACTATTTACTCACATTCTAGACCAATATTGTATGTTCATTACTTTGAAAAAGTGTAATATTTCTTGAAGTATATCTGAAAGTTTTTTTTTCTTTCTTATATTTATTTTATTTATTCATTTACTTTTTTTTTATTTTGAAGGATCTGTTTTTCTGCAGAAGTTGGACAGGATCTTTGATAATTTTTTAATTTGTATTTCTTTGTATTTTATTTCATTAGGTTTATATTGAGTTTCTTGTTATTTGATTTTATTTACTTTATATCAATCATTCATCAATCAGATCATGCCAAAAAGCAATAATCTTTATCCTTTAAGTGTTTATTGTGTTGGGTTTACTAAGTTTGCATTGTGACGTTTGAGTTATTATCATTTGTTTTAATTTTAAAGAAGAAAATTGTGTTGACATAATTTTGATGAATATTTACATTGATATACATGTATGACATTAAGTTGGTCTGTAGGCTCAGAGGTTACTTATCATGTAGATCACCTCAAATCATTTTCTTTCTATAATAATGCACGGATAAATCTTTGGTGATTTATGATGCAATGTTGAAGGTAATATGGTTCTAAAACTGTATTGAGATGTCGCCCTCTCGTGTCGTGTTACACTGATTTTTCTTATTCTTCATCAGTGTTCGATAGTTACTCTCCATAGTTACCAGTATAGCGCTGTACATGAATCTACATACAATTAACAATTGTGTCACCATATATATAAACAGTTATGATGAACTTTAAACAATAGTAGAGTTTTCTTCAAGTTTTATAAAAGGGTTTGTTTTTATCATGAAATTCTTTGCATTGACTTTAACCGGTCTGTTCCTAAACAAATTTACTTTACAATTTTCTTAAATTTTGAAAAGATTTATGACAACTTGTTCATGTTGTGTCATAGTTTATGTGAAAATCTCAGTATGAATTCTTAGGGCATTATTCAAGCATTCCCCTGCGGTGGAAGATTTTAAGCAAGTGATTGTCAAACAGTCTTTAGCTTTCTCATTTCCTATTTCAACAGTAAGGTAAAGTATACATAATACATGAGAAATATGAAGAAATCTTGATTAAAACATGTTGGAGTGATGCTCGTGTCATCTGTACTCTATGTGATAATAATTAAACATAAGATTTGTAAGGCGACAAATCCACTTGACAATCAAATGCTTAATGCTCAGTGTTGCTCCGATAGAATTGTTTTATAAATATTAATTTTCCTTCTGTTCTATAGCACATTAATATATTTTTGTTTAAAGTCGCGGTTGAGAAAATTATAATTTATTTCATTTTTGATGTATCTACAGATACAGGCTATCAAAAGAAAGCTACTGCTTGTGCTGTGCACAAGAACAGTTTGGAATATTTGTTTTTCTTATATGATGGCTCTACATTTTGGCAATCAATATATGGTTATCACGTATATGGTGATTATTACAAAAATGTTTGATTTTGATGAATTCATTAATAAAAAGGTGCGTTTTGTTCACTGTTGCAAACTGGAATCAAGTCTTTGATTATGATCTGTGTTTTTGATCTCTTTGTTGTAGTGAGATATGTTGTAAGTTGCAGAAAGGGCGTTGAAGGTGATGTTTTCAATCATTTACTTCAGCCCATGAACTTGGAATCAATTTTTATGCCTCCGTTACGAAGTAGCCGGAGGCATTATGTTTTCGGGTTGTCCGTCCGTCCGTACGTACGTCCGTACATACGTCCCGTTCTCATGATCGCGTTATCTGAAGAACCGATTGATGGATTCCTGCCAAACTTTGGTCATGTATGTATCTTGCAGAGCCGATGAACTGATTAGATTTTGGGGTCACGAGGTCAAAGGTCACAGGGCTCATTATGTATGCAAAAACAGCTCGTGATCGCGTTATCTCAAGAACCGATTGATGGATTCCTGCCAAACATTGGTCATGTATGTATCTTGCAGAGCCGATGAACTGATTAGATTTTGGGGTCACGAGGTCAAAGGTCAAAGGTTACAGGGCTCATTATGTATGCAAAAACAGCTCGTGATCGCGTTATCTCAAGAACCAATTGATGGATTCCTGCCAAACTTAGGTCATGTATGTTACTTGCAGAGCCGATGAACTGATTAGATTTTGGGGTCTTGGTCAAGGTCAAAGGTCATGCGGCTCATTATGTATGCAAAAAATATAGCTTGTGATCGCATTATCATTAGAACAGATTGATGGATTCCTGCCAAACTTAGATCATGTATGTATCTTGCAGAGCCAATGAACTGAGTAGATTCTTGGGTCATGAGGTCAAAGGTCAAATGTCATGGGCTGATTATGTATGCAAAAATTGCTTGTGAACGCATTCTCATTAGAACTGACAGATGGATTACTATTTAACTCAGGACATCTTGCAGAGCCAATGAACTGAGTAGATTTTAGGGTCATGAGGTCAAAGATCAAAGGGTCATATATGTATATGAGAAATTGCTTTTTGGTTTGTAAACTTGCTCTATGACGGAGGCATCATTTTCGACTGCACGCAGTCGAAGTTCCATCTAGTTTGACCTCTTTTCAAGAAGCGATTATGAGAATATGATATATTCTTGAATTCTCGAAATTGTATTGGAATGGAATGGTGGTGGTTATTTTACCTGACTGCTAAGAAAGCATAAATGTTTGTATGCAAGCAACCAGACGGCCGACGGCTTTAGGTCCTCTCCGAGGGACCTAGTAATGAGGATTAATGGCTTACCAAAGGGAACTAGCACATCGCCTTGGTTTCGAACCCGGGTCACCGGATTACGAGACCACTGCTCTACCGACTGAGCTATCGCGCTTTTGAAGATATTAAACATTTTCTATCAAGAATAAATCTTATTGTCATGATCACGTCAGAAGAGGAGGTAATAAAGTAAAAGTTTATCCAACTTTATGGGCAACAGTATATGATTGTAATGGAGTGAAGAAGGAAATAACTGAGAGACTCTTTAAAAATTCATTCCAGTGTAGAGTAGAGGGAAATTAGTCGGTCATACATGTATGTCAAGTGTACGATGTCTCATAACCATTTCAGGAGATAATCTTTTAAAGGACTAAATTGATAAGTTTTCCTATATTTCAAACCTGCAAAGCACTGATATATTTGTTATCATGTATCAACAAATTTCGATTTATTTTATTGTTTGCTTCGTTTTCCTAATCAAGAGTCAATGACCAGTGTTCCCGTAATAGGGCAAAGTTTGAAGAACGATGACAAAATAATTCGAAAAATACATCAAAAAAGATTAATACTCAATTACGCTAATGGACTTTAAAACTGCGTTGACGTAACCAATTTATATACGGGAAAACCCCCGATAGTTTTGAACATTCATTTCAACATATTATTGCCAATATTAGGGATTACGTTTATTTAAAGAGTCTCCTCCCACAAGCTATTCTATTTGTTGTAATATTAACTCCTTCCCTGACGATTTGATTAAAATGTACTCCTTGGTGAGAGAGGGAGGAGATAATTAGATGAAGAGAGGGGGAAGGAGGGAGGGGAAAGAGAAAGGGGCGGGGTTGAGAGAGGGGGGGGGGAGAGGAAGAGAGATGGTGAGAGGGAGAGAGAGGGAGAGAGTGAGGGAATAAGAGAGAG